AGAGAGAATGTATTTAGAGGGGTTATCATGATCTTGGATGGGAATCCCCTTAGATATATATGCATATCTTTCTCTCTCTTGAATTTGAGTTGGGAATAGATACTCATTTTGGGCTGTTCTGGACCATTCTAGGACCAACTTACGGAAGAAAGGTATGTTTTTCACCATTCTAGTGCACACTCAGTGAACCGGTTTCCATTTCTAGAAATTATACTTTGTGAACTCAGGATCATGGGTCATAACTTTTTCGTTTTAACCCCAATCGAGCCCAAATTTTAGAGGGTTCTTCATCTTGTTAATGCACATATTTTGATATATAGCACGGCCTGATATGGTAGAAATCCTAGAGAGAAGTTGCATAAAAAAGCTCATATTGGAAATTTTTGAAAGAAGGAGACCCCTTTGATCAAGTGACCGTATCATGAAGCCCCGACCTCGGATTGTCTTGTAAATGTTGCGACCATGACTTCGAGGGCTTCGATTTGAGGTAAAGATCACATATGAGACCAAAGACACCATATTATGATGTTACAAAATGCTACATTTTCCGATAACCGGAATCCATTTTTTCGGCAACTTCTCCAATTCAAAAAGTGACAATCCGACAACTAAATTGAGCGATTTTTATCACAAAATGACCGTGGCAGCTTCCCCGTCAATTTATGATAAAAGAATCGACCCAAAACATCAAGGAACGGACAAGATCAAACATTCAAGCTTTCAAGTTTATCACTTTTCACTAGATTTCAAGAAGGCTTCGAAACCTTGATTCAATGATCAAATCAAATGTCAAAATGATTGTCTAGTCAAGACTGTCACTTTTAAGACATTATTTTCAATGGAAGGTTGCCGAAAGTGATTGAAAAAGGCCCCCAACGATAATCATAGTCTATGGAGTCTTTTTTAGGACCATCTGATCGTTTCCATAATTTTGGGTGGGGGTCAAATTGCTATTTTTCCCCCAAAACGGGATTCAATTTAAATCCAAGAAAAATGTAATATTGGCCAATTTGTCTTGCTTTTAGTCATCCACCATTGTTTCAAGGGGATGATATATAAGCATCTTATGCTCATTTGAAACTTTTAAGTTCATGGTGTGGGAAAAATTAATG